GCTAATGCTGTGGTATTTTACCGACAACAATGTTAAGAGAAAACAAATCATTTATTAATTGAAAATGAGAATTTTTAATTTTAAATTCAGAGAAGTTCAATTAAAATTCAGCTTTTCGAATTCAGAAAGCATAATTGAAACTGATTTTGCATTCTGAGAAATCCAATTGAAATTAAGATTTTTCCATTTCGATTTCGGAAAAGAAGAATTAAATTTGATACTCAGAAAAATCAATTATAAATGAGATTTCTTCGTTTCAAATTCTGAAAAGAACAAGTGGAAATTAAAGTTTTTACTTATACGAAACTCGGAAAGCAATTTGAAATTGAATTTTGGGTCTTCCGATATTGAAATGAAATATCTCAACTCCAATTTTTCTTTTCTGCATTTCAAATTAAACATATAATTTTCTACGCCAATTTTCGAACGAATAAAGTCTTAATGCCAATTATCATTTGCCAAATTTCAAATTCTAACATTTAATAGTTCTTTTCTAAAAATCAATAAAAAAAATATTTACAATTTACTTACTCTTCAAAACAGTGCACATTGGGGTATCATTTAAGTAAACTAGGCATAATGTAAATAATTAAAAAATGATTATTTTAATAAAAAAAATAAGACTTTTTTCTATATAACGCCATCTTAGTTTTCCCATTTTTATTGTATAGGCCTTTAGATGATGTAGCAAAATGTATGCTTTTATATATCTTTTTATACAATTTTTTTTTTATTATTTAATACCATAACTTTTTTATACGAATTTAATCCAAATTTCAAAAAATTTTCTTTTTCGATACCAAATATACTATTGTTATGTATGAAAAGGTGTTATTTAAAATCACAGACAAATATTTAATTATTAACGACTTTTTAAACTGCTATTTTTATACCCACCATCAAAAAAGATGGGGGGTATATTGATTTTGTCATTCAGTTTGTAACACATCGAAATATTGGTCATAGACCAACAAAAGTATATATGTATATTCTGGGTCCTTATTAAATTATATGACGATCTAGCCATGTCCGTCCGTCTGTCTGTCTGTTGAAAGAACGATAGAGTCTAACGGAATGAGCTAGAGAGTTGAAATTTTCCACAAATGTTCTCAATAGACAAGGTTTGTTTGGTATTGAAAATGTGCAATATCGGTCCCCGTTTTCGGATAGCCCCCATACAAGTGGAAACAGAAAAACAGCTTTAAAGGGCATATCTGTTTCAAAAGTACGAGTATAGCGATGAAATTCGACACAAATAAGTTTCATATGATCCAAAACCTCCCTACTAAATTTTATAAGGATCGGTCCATAATTGACCCTACCCCCCATATAAGGTCCCCTTCGGAAAATCTCTATAACGCTCATTACTGGCTTAAAAATAAGAATATAGCGAAGAAATTCGCCACAAATAAGTTACATGCAAGTAAAAATCGCTCTACCAAATTTTATACGGATCGGTCCATAATTGGCCCTACCCCCATATAAGGTCCCCTTCAAAAAATGAATTTAACGCTCATTACTGTCTTAAAATAACATGTATAGCAGTGAAATTTGACATAATTAAATTCCTGACGAGTCAAAACCTCTCTACCAAACTTTATGTGGATTGGTCCATAATTGACCCTACCCCTCATATAAGGTCCCCTTCAAAAAATTACTTTAACGCTCATTACTGGCTTAAAAATACGAGTATAGCAATGAAATTTAACATAAGTAAGTCCTTGACGAGCCAAAATTTAGGTATCTATCAAATTTTATGTGCATCGGTCCATAATTGACCCAATCCCTCATATAAGGTCCCCTTCAAAAAATGACTTTAATGCGCATTGCTTGCTTAAAAATACGAACATAGCGATGAAATTCGACACACATAAGTTTCATACGAGTCAAAATCTGTCTACCAAATTTTATGTGGATCGGTAAATAATTGACCCTACCCCCATATGAGATCCCCTTCAGAAAATTACTTTAACGCTAATTACGGTCTTAAATATACGAGTATAGCAATGAAATTCGACACACATAGGTTCCATGCGAGCCAAAATATCTCTATCATACATAAGTAACATAAGTAAGTCCCTGACGAGCCAAAAACTCTCTACCAAATTATATGTGGATCGGTCCATAATTGACCCTACCCCTCATATAAGGTCCCCTTCAAAAAACGACCTTAACGCTCATTACTTTCTTAAAAATATGAGTAAAGCAATGAAATTTGACATAAGTAAGTGTCTTACAAGTAAAATCCTCTCTAGCAAATTTTACCTCTACCTCGAAAAAATACAATTTTTTCCTAATTCTTGAGTAGTTTTCTCAGAAAATACCCAAGATTATTCAATGAATTCTGTCTCACGCTATTTATTTGGCCCAGGGATCAATTATGTTCAAACTCAAAACAATCGGTCCAAGATTTCCCATAGTCCATATTCTCGAAAATGGGTTTATCTTTAATAACTTCATCAAAAATATCGGTATCACCTCGAAATTTTGCACATATGTATAAAATATGAACAGAAATCATATTACTGACGTAAATCTGTATTGGTACATAAATGGTCATAGCTCCCATATAATGTCCACTTCCGAAAATGCACATAACTAATTAAGAAATAAAGATATTGGAATAATATTCGACATAAATATGTTCTCTGTATTCATATATCACTCTGGAAAATATTTTTCGGATCGGTCCATATTTGGACATAGCTCCCATATAAGGCCTATTGCCGATAACCACGTAAATTCACATATTTCTTTACTAAATGAAGATATCGGTATGAAATTCATCATGAATGGGTTTAAAGTACATATAAAAGAGCCTGCGAATTTTTTTCCGGGTCGGTCCATAATTGGTCACAGCTCTTATATAAGGTCCACTTCCGAAAACTACTTAGAAGCACGTACATAACTAATTAAGAAATAAAGATATTGGAATTATATTCGACATAAATATGTTTTGTGTATATACATACACAGAAAAAACTAAAATTATATTTCAATTATCAAAATAATAATATCACCTAAATGATGATATCAATTATCAAATTTGTAAAAAAATTAAAAAAATACTTTTTTTTCAAATAACGAATTAATCAGAACAATTAATATCAATAATTGAGACAAAATTTAAAATTGATTAATTCATTAATTCTATAAATTAAATATATAATAAAAATAAAATCTAAATTTTATTAATTTATTAATCAAATAAATTAGTTTGTTTGGTATAAACTTTATTAAAAACCAATTAAGTTGATGATTAAAACAATCAAATTATTAATTGATTACTCACAATGTTAAAGGAATACTTAACCTTTAACAATGCGTTGAGCATTTACAAAAAATATCACTTTATTATCAAAAATATAAAGTGTTTTATAAATTGTCAAGAAACTTGATTATATACCTAAAGTCTTATAGACTATTTAAGAATTATAAACATTATTAGCATAAGAACTCAAAATAAAATATTAAAAAAAACTAAAATAGAAAAGTTGGCTAGACATTTTTCTCAATAAATTAAAAAATTAATTGAATCAATTAAAAATTTAATCAAATTTGTAAACTTAGGTTTTAAACAACGAGATAATTACGTCAAATGAAAAATTGTTTAAATTAAAATTAAAGAAAGAGGAAAACATGTTAATTGAAAATAAACTACCGGTAATTTTTTCTGTGTATATGACTACCAAATATTTTTCGGATCGGTCATTAATTAATCATAGCTACCATATAATGGCCATCGTTAGTGGCCACGTCAATGGATATACATATTTCATTACTGAATGAAGATATCGGTATAAATTTCGTCATGAATATGTTTAAAGTAGATATGAACCATCCTGAGAAATAATTTCCGGATCAGTCCCTAATTGGTCATAACTCTCATATAAGATCCACTTCCAAAAATCGCATATTTCATTGATAAATAAAGATATCGGACTAAAATTCCTCATAAATATGTTTTTGATATATACAAATCACTCCTAAATTTTTCAAAAAGCTTACAGGTGGAGGTTATTTAAGATTCGGCATAGCCAAATATAACACTCTAACTTGTTTTGTAATTATATTTTTTTATTTGTTTCCAACAAATTAGAAATTACACTTATTCGTAAGGCAGTTCAAACTGAATTACGTACAGCTGAAATTTCGTATAGCGAAACATGTAATTCTATTCGTAATTGAATTACATGAATTACTATGAATTAACGTAATTAAATCGTTAATTAATAGTAAAAAAAACTATGCAGTAAATAACATTGCGCGTTCGTTTAAACGTATCTTGCTATAGTTTTTAGTGATTAACATATTAAATGTTACATAACTGGTTTAATGATATGCAGGGTTTATATTAGTACGATTAAATATTAAAAAAAATTATACATTTGAACGAAAGTGTGTAAGTTACAGTAGACTCGCCGTTCTTGTTTGCCATTTAGTTGACTCGTATTTTTCTTTGTATCAGTTAAGGGCCCTTCAGACGATCACACTTTACGTACGACAAGGCTAATGATAAAGTAAAATGAAATTCCATCCGTATGACAAAAAAGAGAATAAAGGTCGTATGATTTATATTTTTTGTGTTTACTCGATTGGTATAAAACAATAACAAAGTAAGATGGAAACAGCTGTTCCATTTTTTTGTATGTGTTTACATAAAAATACATCCCTGCGACTTGCTTGTTTTTTGAATCATTTCAAAAAATGACGGGAGCCATACGACTGTCAAATTTTCCATCCGTATTTTCTCTCAATGTGTGATGGTTTCATTACATATTGCGTTAAGACAATCCCATCCGTTCTCTTCTACACAAAATTTTGACAGATCATATTACTTGTGTGCTCGTGTGAAGGGGGATTTATTAAACGTAGAATTTTGATAAACTTACTTAGGGAATGAATGGTGGTTTGTGATTTGTCCCAAATCAAGACATAACTTCAAAATGTCACTTAGTTTAAAAGACACATTAGTAGATTAGCTTTATCCTTCGAAAGTGTTAACCCTTAATATCCTGATTTTTTTTTTTGAGCTGAAAAAAATTAATGTTATAAAACTGGCATTTCTAAGCAACTTTTGTTCTACAACTTTGTTCTTAAATATGAATTACCTGAGTTATGTCAAAAATACCTGGTTGGTTCTTTGAGGAACCACCAGGCTCCCGGACGTCACAAATTACAACTAGTAGTAAATAGTATTTTTAAGGCAAAAATAAACATGTTCATTTTATTTAAGGGAAATATAAAGGAAAATTAAAAACAACTTTTAATAACTTATAAATGATTGTTAGTTTTGATGAAACTCATAAAAACAGTTCTTTTCGGCCGAAAAACATAAATTTATGCCACATTTTTGACATCGAACCTTTGTACGAGATGTACATTTTGGATTTTTACACCGTGGTTTGCCTTCTTTTATAAATTCTGGAAAATGTCCTATATTATCTAAGCGAATATCACGAGGTGGTAATGCAGCACACATTGGGCGTGGACGCTTTACAATAATTTCAGATTCAAGGTTACTTCGCCGACCTTTTCCCATTCGTATTTCAGTACCAGATTTCGTCAAACAATGTGCAACTTCTGACACAAATTCATGTAATACCTTCTGTGGTTCCACATTATTAGTCTCTACATGATGCCTCTTGTATAAAATCCATGCGTTGATGATGGCAATATCACACATATGATAAAACAAACGGCTTGTCCATTTGCGGGATTTTATACGGATGTGACTACGACCGAGAGACGAGTCCAAAAGGTCAACACCACCCATATATTTATTGTATTCATGGACGATATTTGGACATTGAATACTTTCCATTTCCTTTTTCTTTTTGTTGTATCGTTCTATGGTTGGTGTATCCTTGGGCGTCTGACCATCAGATGAAATATATGGCTTTACTCCGGCCATTGTTGATGCCATGGTGACAACTTTGTTATCATTCCATGCCACTGTTGTGACATCGATTCCATGAAATGTTCCAACATATTCTTCGGAATCACCGCGATTAGCAAATTTTTGTGACAATTTGCACAATGGAAGACGTGGACGGCGAACTGTACCAATTGAGTATATCCCTTGTGTTCGCAAATAAACCATTAAAGGAACAGAAGTATAATAATTGTCGAAAAATATGACGTGGTTGACAAATCGAGGAACCGAACGAGCCAATCTTACCACAACATTTGCAGATGCACCCAAATTCGGCTCATTTTCTTCACGGTGGTCATCATCACCAGAATATATTTCAAAACTATAACAAAACCCAGAGTCATCACACAGAAGAAACAACTTGTCGCCCCATGGATGTGGTTTATCAGGCATATATTGTTTTAGATAGTGTTTGATTTTGGTGGCACAAATTTGTTCGTCAACACACAAACGTGCTCTCATTGGAACTTTTTTAAAGTTTCTATTCAAGGCTGTTATAACAGGCCGTATTTTGTACAGCCTATCGTAGCCCGAATCACACTGTGGTATAGATCCATAGCTTCTACGGGCAACTCCCGATGACGTCGATGGCTGTTGATCAGCTGCGTCTTGAAAATGTTGGCGACGGGGCATTGTCTCGTTGTTATTGAGATGTAAAAATTGTCTAATTTTTTCATGACGATTTCGAGTCATACAATCCATAATTGGTTTAAAACCATAATCACTCCAATAAGATCGTACGCTTGGATATTTGAATACCGACATATAATAATTAACTCCCATGAATCTTTTAATTTCATCTGGGGTGGTATTCAGGGGCTTTGCGATGTCTTTTTGCACAGCGTACAGGTTGCTCTGTTCTACAATATTTGAAATAATATCGTCCGAAATAAAAAACGAAAAAAAGTCAAGTGGAGATTTCAACGCCAATATTTCCGGTGATAAAGCGTCATTACCCCGAAATTTTATAATATTCGAATAATGTTGCATATGTCTCTTTCGCCATAAAGGTCTTTTAAAAACAGTTGAATCTTTTTCAATTGAAATACCTTCAAACATTGTGGCGTATTCTTGCCACCGTGATCGGTCACCAACAATAACTGGGTCTTCCACGACATCTATAACATATGGGATTTTTACATGAAAGCAGATGAGAAATATGTTATTTATTACCTTGATTCAATTCTGAGATCTCAGCAATGTTTTGATTTTGTGAAGAGAAATTGTTCACATCCACTGTATCGTTTGGTTCTATAATATTTAGAGTATTTGATTGTTCCATGGTCTCATTATGTAAATTGGACTCTTCTACTCTATCTTTAACACTTTTTTTTCTAATGGCGGCATTAAAATTAAAATCTGGGTAGCACTGTTCATCATCGGAAGAAAAATCTTCATCATCTTCGCTTTCTGACCAAGCAATTGAATTTACATATTCAGTAAGTTCTTCTTGTGTACGGAAGTCACGAATTCTACGCTGCATATTGAATAAATTAACTAAAAAACACACACAAATTTGTTTGCCATACATTTTCATATATAATTAATTTTGAACTCTGGGTGCCTGGTGGTCCCTTAAAGAACCAACCAGATATTTCTAAAAATCTAAACAATTAAAAAAGTAAAATCACTTCAAATACTTACAATAACTATTATATATCACAACAATTACAAAAATATTTTTTTATAGTTAAAATTTTGTCTATTTATTACTAAAACTCTTCTTCAAAAACTCGCAAAATTGCAAAAGAGCAATTTTTTTAGGTTAGCTCACTCTTTTGAACATACACTTGTCAAACAATATTATATTCCAATGCCGATCGATGAAATTAGCGGCGCTTAAAATTAAGAACAGTTTGAAAGCCACAGATTGAAGCTTACAAAAAATTAACTTAACAAAAACTTAATTTTAGTTGGTTGGTTCCTAGCGGAACCACCAGGCTATTAAGGGTTAATAAAGGAAAAGATAAAAATGAACAACAATTTCGTCTTACATTATTGGACTAAATTAAACAAAGAAAGTCACATAATTATTACAACTATTTATTTTGTATATGTGTATGTGTAAGATGTCAGTATCTTAAATAAAATCAGTCAAAAATGGTCTTCACTCTCAAGACATTTTCATCCCTCCAGAGCTTTAAATTGATGTTAACGAATACAAGTAGAAGTGTTCCATTCATAAAAAGGGAATGCCTCCTGGCTTAGAAATTTTAAATTACGAAATGAATATGTGTATGTACATACTTATGTACATACACATGTATAGGTACATAGTACATGCATATGTATTATATCTATTTATAAGTAAAAAGTTTATGTGCGGCACGACATGTCTTAATCCTTATTACGCTTATTAAGTCGAAAAGCTCGCGTGTGTTGTGCATTGTTTTGCTTTGTTTCTTAGCTCATTTTGACGGACTATTTGTTTACACGGTGTAGAAGTATAACTTGTAAGGTTGCTTCTTCAATCGCTCGTCTGACTACACAAATCGTTATTGTTTGTGTGAGTGTTCGAAACACATGGGCATAAAAGTAAAACGAATTCACTTTATACGACATACACACATATCCCAGAAGTTTTAAGAGGATTCAGGTATCCCTTTTAAATAATGGACAGGATTTTGATATCCATACATATGTATTTTGTATTAGAATAGTAATCTGTAAAAAAGATTCGTTAGTTTACATGTTACATATACGGGTAATTTCGTGTCAAGTGACCGGACTCAAAAAAGCGATTTGGATGAAATTTGCACCAAGGTTAGTACTATTGGTTAGTAGGCCAGGTACAGTTTTTGCTAGAATCAATAGGTGAAAAGTTACACTCATTTGAATAAAATCATGTACGATCAAACTGTCCAACTTTGACCTCCTCTGGATTAGATTAGATTTCATCCAAATCGGAAGTCATCGATGTTAAAAGTTGGGTCACTTGACATGAAATTGCCCATATCTATATTGCGGATCATTTGTTCTTTTATAACAGAAGTGTGATAGTTCCTTAGGCGTTAACTGACATCCATCTGTAGGTTACATTGCTATTTTAATATGTGCGTATCCTATTACATATGTAGCATGTATGTAAATGTATTGCATATCTATATAACCAGTATGACCAAAATGTCAGAAAAAAGTTAACTATATTTTTTTCTGTCAATCTGGAACTGCAGGGATGTAACCATGTACGAAGTATGTTGAATAAAATATATTTAAAAAAAAACTTAACCACGGCTAAGGAAAGAATTTAGAAATACACATACATACATGCATGTCCGTTATTATTAGGGATATAACATGTTTTAATATAAATTCGTACTTACCCAGCAAAAACTTACTTACATTCAAAAGTAGTGAGTTAAAAAGCTAAATAGGCCGTTTTTCACTACTTATTCATTAGCATTTTAACTCATTTAACATTGGAGAAGAGATCTTACCACGCTTGCTTACAAATAACTACTTAGATAACTACTTACAAATAAGGAGTTAAATAGATATTTTGTTTTCTTCTTGCTCGTTAGTTCGCTGTCTTACTCACAACACCACTCCTTAGTTATTTTTTTTGTGCGTCCAATAATTGAACCTGTCATTTCGAAAAGGGCATGAGTCCATCAAAACAAACTTTTCAGGAGGAGCAATAATATGTTAGGTGTAAAAAAATTATATGGGGCTTAAAAAGTTAAACATAGAAATTGATAGATACAAACACAAGTATTTTTGAGATATTTTGAGATAATGTTTTGGACATACATATGTCGTTTTTAAACAGAATATGCAATAACTTTTACAATTTTCAACCGATTTCAGTATTTTAAATATTGTTGGAAAGATAATTGCATAAGTATTTTAATTTTCCAATGAAATAATGTTATTCTAGTGATCAAATATTTGCAAAAATATAGTTGAAACTGTTCATGGTTTGAATTAGATTCTCAATAGAGCTTCGAGAATTTGTTTCGGGTGCGGGTACACCCTCTGTTAATGCATGTGCATATGAAAATAATGTGGTATTATTTTCATTATTTGTTTGCAAATTTTCATTATTCTTATTTGTAAGACTTCTATATTGGGCACTAGAAGTTTGTTTTGCGTTCATTTGGGATACGGAACCGGAACCCTCTTTTGTCGTATGGGCATACGATTTATTCTGATTGCTTTTATTTGTGATAGTTCTATATTGAGCGCTAGAAGTATTAGAAAGGCTTCGGAAGTTAGAAGCTTTATATTGAGCATATAAAGGTCTTCTGGCCTTATTTGATTGTTGTATGTGTAGATATACTGGACGCGATAGTTAGCAGTGTGATTTTGACCACAGCTAGCATTTTCTTTTATTGTTATCTTTTTTTTTGGGTGGGGACAATCTTGGCTTTAATGGATGTCTCCGCATCTCACACAAACAGATGGTAATTTGCAGAAAGTTCTGGTGTGACCGAACTCTTGGCAATTTAGGCATTGAGGAGGATCTCTGCGCATAATGGGTTCCTCTACAGTTATTTTGCGATTAAGGAGATATCTTAAACTGTATCACACTTTTTCTTCAATTGTGAAGAGTAAAAAGTAATTTCAACTCTAAACAATGGTTGAGGAATTTTTTCCTTGTTAAATATATTGTGAATGGACTTCACTTCATAACCTTCTGACTCTAGCGCCTTTTTAATGTCATCAGTTGGTACAGAGCTGTCTACACTTTTGATAACTACTGCCAAAACCTTTGCACTTTTTAGTTGATATGTGTAATAAATTATTTTCTCTGAATGAATACTATCAACTATTGTTCTAAAAGACTTTTCTGAATAAGTCTCTATTTTTGTTTCCTAAATGTTTTCTTTGCGTAGAGAGACTACGTGGAAATTTTCTTGGCCTACAAGTTGGGACAACTTATTAACCAATAGATTTGTGGTAGGTTCGCGCAAATAGAGGGGAGGTGGCTTGTGGTCCTTTAAAGGCATGGATGGTACTTTTTCACTTTCTTGGTTGTCAAGGAGTGCAAAACGATTTTGATTTACCGAATTTGTTTTCGCCTGTTTTGGATTTGGTTCCAATTTTGAAGTCCTAGGGCTGGACTTACAATTTGTATAACTGACATAACGGTTCATTGCCGTTTGGATCTTTCCCTTTTTATGCGAACTCAGTGTATTTGGATTGTTTTTTGGTATGGCACTAGTATTCTTGGTTTTTATAGTGTTAATATTGTTATTGATACTATTTGTGATATTGTTCACATTAGCATTACTATTTTCATCAATCATTGAATCAGTTGTTTGTTTATCTATTTTTTCTTTTGCCTTGTCTTCCCACACAATTTTCTTGTTTTGGTGCACTTGAGAGAGGAGATCTCTCGTTTGTTGTTGTTTTTGAATCTGTTGTTTGTTAATTCTTTTGCGCTATTATCTACACAATTGTTTTGTTTTGGCGCACTTGAGAGAGGAGATCTTTCGTTTGTTGTTGTTTTTACGATTAAATAGTTTTTTGATTTTTTGGATCATAATTATTGTTGTTGTATGGAGAGCTCATAGAAAAGTATGAATTTTTTCCATTGCTACTGAGCCTCCTTTCACTTGTTGGAGAGCTAGAGAAACTCATGCACAATAACACAAACCCTACACTTTATTTAAGGTTTTGTTATTATTTTTTTTTTTGTTTTTTATACTTTTTGTTTTGCTACAATTTGTTGTAATAATTGCATTAACAAAAACGACAATTTATTTAATTTAAATGTATTTTTAATATTAAAAATATATATAAGTATTAGGGATGCCAATCGGGACTGATTTTTAGAAATCCCGGGATCTTCGGGAATCGGAAATTCCCGTTTGGCATCCCTAATGAGTATTTAATTAGCGTCCATTCGCTGTTTTTTATTTTAATTAAGAATTTATGTTCACAATGTTATTTTCTCGTGAGAGCGATTTAAAACACGTCTATCCACTATGAGATCAAACCTTTCAATGACTAAAAAATTGGTTGTCAGATGATTTGAAATCAGATGGTTGATGATCTGATTTCAAATCATCTGATTTTTAATCAATTGTCAATTGTTTTCACACAGAAAAACTATTTTCTTTTGTGTGTATAAAAAACAGTTGCTAGCTCGCGATCCAATGAAATGTTTTTCAAGAATTTTAAAGTGAAATAAATTTCGTAAATTTACTTGATCTTCAAACAATCACTTTAAAAAAAATAAGCTTTTATGTATTTTAGAACATTTTACAATTTTAAAAACAAACAAGTAAGAAATTATAGTCGGGCGAGGCCGACTATATAATACCCTACACCTTTGACAAAAATATAATGTGATTTAGTTGCCATAATAAAGCATTTAAGTTGAATTGTACCTTGCCTTAGATATACATACTTAAGCCGTTTATTGTTGAATAAAATTGTGGACATTTAAGTGAAATTTTGATGGGGGCTTTTCATAGGGGCTAGGGTCATATGAGAACCTATTATTATGGAATTCGTGGGGGTCATCAAGTCTTGTATACAACTTGGTTATTGCAGCTTTTTGTCGAGATATGAGTATATTAAACATAATTATGAACTTAAAAGCCCTATTCGGCGGGTTCAGTTGTATGGGGGCTAGGTGAAATAATGGACCGATGTAAACCATTTTCAACAGACTTCATCTACGGTACCATAAAAGATCATGTGCCAAATTTCATTGAATTATCTCCAAAATTGCGACCTGTAGTTTGATTACAAATTTTAAAAGCCCTATTCGAGAGGTTCAGTTGTATGGGGGATAGGTGAAATAATGGACCGATGTTAACCATTTTCAATAGGCTTCGTCTACGATACCATAAAAGGTCATGTGCCAAATTTCATTGAATTATCTCCAAAATTGCGACCTGTAGTTTGATTACAAATTTTAAAAGCCCTTTTGGGGGGTTCAGTTGTATGGGGGCTAGGTGAAATAATGGACCGATCTTAACCATTTTCAATAGGCTTCGTCCCTGGGACAATAGAAGATCATGTACCAAATTTCATTGAATTATCTTCAAAATTGCGACCTGTAGTTTGATTACAAGGTTTACATGGACGGACGGACAGACGGACGGACATAGCTAAATCGACTCAGAAAATGATTCTGAGCCGATTGGTATACTTTAAGGTGGGTATAGGACCAATATTATTGTGCGTTACAAACATCAGCACAAACCCAATATACCCTCCCCACTAAAGTGGTGTAGGGTATAAAAAGGTCCAAATTTCCCAAAAAATTGGTAGTTAATAGACCGTAACTTCTAGGGAACAAAAGAAAAAAAAAAGTCCTACACTGCTATGTAGTCCGAACCCTCAACTACACGTGCATACCCCATTATATATCAACCAGATCAATTTTTCTGACACAAAGTCGGATATTTTGTGCAGAATTTATGAATAAATACATGAGATATGGCTAGTTCTTTGAACTTTAGTTAATAAAGATTTATTTCGTGATTTCTTCCATGATGCCCCGATTCCACCAAACATCGCGAATTATTTGGCTTAGATAACGTTATTTCCAATTGTTCTCAAATTTACCGGTAGATGCCCGTGGATGATTTCTTTGGGTCAGGTTTAGAGATTCGTCTTATCATCCGGTTTGAGGTGGGCTGATGTTTTTCTGGAAATTTTTCGACGTGGAGCGTTAGTATCAGTGTCATATTTCTTAATATAAACGATCAAAAATATTTTTGTTGGAACAATTGATTGCCGGGCAAGGCATATCTCATATTAGTCAATTACTAAAATTCAATTTTGGTCAACTTTGACATCCGTATGGCGGGGCATCTCCCATATTAATCGAATCTAAAATTCGTATATCTGGGAAACTATAAAAGCTAAAGTGACCAAATTTTGTACTAGTAACTTAAGTATCAATATGAATTTTTAGGGGAAAAAAGGCGGTCTAGGATTAGTGGGCTATAGTCCTCAAATCACATCAATGTCAACATTTATATGAACAGTTATGGGAAAAAATGGCGAACTTTCAATAGTGGTCGTGGCATCTCTCATATATTTTTAATGCCAAAATTCATATATCTGGGTTACTATAGCAGCTAGAGTCACTAAAATTTAAAATTTAACCCCATTATTCACAAACAAAATTTTTATTTTATAAAAGGTTTATAAAACAAAATTTACATACAAAATCTAATTTATAAACCGTTTATAAAATAAAAACTTTGTTTGTGAATAAGGGGGTAAATATTTAAAACTAAAATGGTCGGAATACCAATAGAGGCATACAACATATGAAATTGTCGTCATCCTTCTAAATTATATTTTAATTCGGTCTGTTTAAAAAAAAATCCACCTCTGTCTCGTGTGAATATCAGAAATTAAAAGTTTTAGGAGGAGAACAAGAAATAATTATCCGTTAGTTTGAATTACTCATTTTCTCCATTAAAAAACAAGTAAGAATTTATAGTCGGGCATGGCCGATCATATGATACCTTACACCAGTGATTATGTTAAAAATTTTGATTATTTCTTTAATAATATTTAATTCCAGAAAAGAAAATGATTCTGATTAGTATAGGGGTATAATTAGTATCTAAAACTGTATTTTTGTAAAACATATTATACAGCAAACATAGAATTGCTTGGCTTTCGAAATATACTACATATGGGCGATTTCGTGTCAAGAAAAATCGATGTCTTCCGATTTGGATAAAATTTGGATAAGGTACAAAGCTATTAAAGAAAATGGTCTAGAAACAATATAAATAAAAAACCGTTTATGATTTTTATATTTACATTTTACGGGAAAAGCTACTCCCATTTCTCTAGTCGGCAAACGTTAGCTCAGAAATTAATTTCATCGACCAAAAGTCAAATGTTTTGTTAATACTAGTAAATACATTAAAACTACATATAATATCTATGGTTTTGGTGCAACCTGTTACAGAATTGAAAAAGTAGAAACCAGTTCTAAAAATTATCGTGAACATTAGCTTTTTTGATAAAAAAAAAAAACGATTTTAGTAGAACCGCTTCGAAAGGGACCGTTTCTTTTGCAGAATCGATAAAGTGGGAACCTGTGTTTAATTTATATGGGAGATGCAACGCCCGCTATTGATAGTTTACCCATTTTTTCCAAATGCTCATATGGATTTCAATGTTGCCTGTGCAAAATTTGAGATTTTTTTGTATTTAATTCATATGTGAGTTACCATGCCCCTACAACACGTGCAACATTTGCGGATTCTAGTTCCTATATTTTCCCAGATGTAAAAATTTAATTCATATCTGAGGTACCATACCCCTATTGCTAATCCGGTTATTTTTCTGCAAATTGTTCACATGGATTTCAGCTAAATGTTTTCCCTGATATATGAATTTTTTTTATTTAATTCATATGGGAAGGACCACGCTCCCGTAATCCGCCAATTTATTAGATAAAGGTTTACACGAATGTGAAAATTGTTCGTGCAAAATTAGCTCTAATAGTTTCCCCCATACACGATTTTTGTTATTTAATTCTTATGGGAGGGACCACGCCCACAAATAAAACGTCGCCAATTTATTAGGCAAATACTAACATGGATATCAATAGTTTCCCCGACATACGAATTTTTGTATTTAATTCACATGAGAAATACCACGCCCCCTTTTTTACTCGCCCATATTTGTCTTAAATATCCATATTGATATCAAAGTGGTTCGGACGAAATTTGAGCACTTTTAGTCAGCAATATTATACATAAATACACACATATGGGGAATTTTGTGCCAAGTGACCCTAGATTTTTTTTTTTAAATTCTGAATTTTATTTTTAGAAAAATATATGTAAAAAAATTTCAAATAAATTTTTTATATAATTTCACAAAATGATTGTTTCGAAGAATTTTATGCAAAAATAAAATTTTAATGGAATTCCTCCTATACAATTTCCTTTAAAGGCTTTATAGTCCCACAATAGGATGCGAGTGGGATATCTATCAGTAAAAAAAACTTAAATATTTTATTATTAAAAATAATCCCCATATTTAACATACAAACGGTGTATTTTATAATATGGTTGGCCTTGCCCGACTATACATTCTCACTTGTTTTTCTTATAACTTCTGGCGGATCCGAAACAAATTTTGACAGTATTTACCATGGTGCAATTAATAAGGTGAATTCGTTTCAACAGCTATTTGTTTTTTTGTTTGCGTAAATTTAGCACGAAGATGTTAAACTCCATATATGAAAAAACCATGAATTAGCAGGAAAATAAAATGACTTAACCTTATAAAAACTTATTAAGGTTTATTAAAC